GCCGGCCGCTCTGCGGACCGAGGTGCGGACGGGGCTGCGGGAACGAGGCACCCGCCTGATCCCCGGCACCCGGGACGTATTTATCAGACTTCGGGCGCCTCCCGGAAGCCGCGAGCTCGGGACCCAGCCTTCGAGCCGGCCGCGCTCTCCGGCTCCGGGAGCCGGCCTCCCTCCTCGCCGTCCTCCCCCTCCTCCTCTCCCCGGCGCCCCGGCCCGCCCCCTTTCCCCCCGCGGAGGTGGAGGTAACCGCGGCACCACTGGGTCCCGCTCCTGCGCGCGAGCGCCCTCGCCAGTCGGGACGCGCAGCCGTCGCTGCCTCCTCCTCCCGGGATCCACGGGAGGGGCGGGAGAAACGGGACACCCCGGGCCCGCTGGGCCCCAGAAGCCCTGTGCCAGTCCCCCTTCCACGCAGGGCGGGGCGGGCCAGGGGCTGGAAGAGACGCACGGTGCTGGGGCGGCGGTTGGTAGGGGTCGCCGCCGGATCGGCGCAGGATGGGTGCGTGTGGACTGGGCTGTCACCGCCGCACAGGATCCCCAGCCCACCCCGCGGGCGCCGAGTCTCCGTGACCTCTGTCATTTCCGAGGTGCCCAGCTGCCCTCACCCCCCTCCCGGTTCGCTGTCCCTTCGGAACAACCCCCTGCCGTCTTTTTTAAATTTTTAATCTTTGTTTTTCCCCAGGTACAGAGAAGATTGATTTTTCTGTCCACCGAGCAGGTGCCAGGGGGCGCCTTTGCCAATTTCAGGTTAGCAGTCGCCGGCAACGTCCGGTCACCTGCTACCGACTGCAGCACCCATTCCCAAATTGCCACTGCTTCCCCCCACTCGAAAATAAGCACGGTATTCTACCGATATGCACAAGTTCTATATATATATATGTGTGTGTGTTAACCGCGAATGGTCACGGCCTTCCCCACCCCCTCTCCAAGGTCTTGAATTCACATCTCCAATGCCGTCTGCACAGGCGCACACGTCTACACCCTCACACAAGACAAGCCGCTCCCTACTCTCCCGGCTCCAGTGCCAGCCTTGCACAGCCAGCTCTATATAAATAACACCAGCCCTGCGGCAAACGGACGCATTAGCATATTTCCTCCTGTACCCACGGCCTTCACCAATTATAATTACGTGCCACCTTTCACCCTAGCTTCCCCACAGGTAGGGAGACATTCTGTATTCGGAGAAGTTTATTAATGGACGTCTTAAATGGAACAATCCATTTCTTATTTGGGACGAAAGAAATATGTTTGCTTCCCAAAAGAGTACACTGTAAACCATATATACTGAATGTATTATTTGTTGTATTATTAGTTGTTCAGCTGCATATTGTATAATTTAGGGGAAGGCATTTTTTTTAACCTGCAGCTTAATGTTCCAGGCAACACATGCTTACTGCCTAAAATATTGGCACATGCAAGACAACTGTTCTGAAGGCAGCCATCCTGGGTCCTTGGAGGGCTATGAACTTTCCTGACTGGCTGGGAAGGGGAGATTAGATAACAATAGGCAGAAGGTACCTAAAGAGCCCAGAGGACACCAAAGGCATGAGGAATGTGTCTAGAAACTGGCACACTCTCAAGAATGTAAAGCTTGGAGTGTTCTTGCCTTCCTTCCTTCCTTCCTTCCTTCCTTCCTTCCTTCCTTCCTTCCTTCTCTCTCTCTCCCTCTTTCTTTCTCTCTGCCTGCCTGCCTGCCTTCCCTTCCCTTCCCTTCCCTTCCCTTCCCTCCCTCGCTTCCTTCCTTCCTTCCTTCCTTGCTAGTTATTTTGGTATTTGGAATGGGACCCCAGGCCTTGCATACCATCTACCTGTTACATCCAACCTGCATTTATCTTTCTGAGTTTAAATATAAAATTGCCAATTTTATTACTTAGCCTTCAGTGCTGGCTTTTCCAAAAGAAAGATTGTTTTGTGGTTGGCTGTCCCTTTCCCTCAACTGTTCACTGAGGTATATAGATATAGATACATATGCACATGTATACTCTAGTGAACATACATATAAATGGGTTTACATGTATATATGTGTTTATATGTATATGTGTTTATATGTGCATGTACATGTGTATATATGTATATGTGTGGTGTGTTTATATGTACATATAACCTTACAAATAAGCTTAGCTGTTAATATTAATAATGACAATTCTAGTTAGAATGATAATCAGGAAATTTCAAATTCTTGCTGAGGGTAGGAAGTCTGATTATCAGAACAAGTGGTCCTCAATAAAACCAAATAGCTGGTTTTGAATCCAGATTGGATTTTTGCCATTTCAACATGCGCTGGTCAATTGCAAAACTGTAGAAAAAGGTATGTATTTTTTAAATGGTTATAGATATTTGCTTGAGTAGTACTCATTCCAAAACATGTCAAAATATTCTTGTACATCTTAAAACATATACAAAAGATAGGTTAGTTAAAAATTTTACCATTGCAAAATTTACAAAAGGAAAATGAAACAGGTTTGAACTCAGAGCCTCACCCTTGCTCAGGCAGACACTCTACCACTTGAGCCTTTCCCCCAACCATTTGTTTTAAGGAATTATTTTCTGTGTGCGGAAGAAGCCCTGCCCTGAAGAAGAAACTTCATTTCAAAGGTATTAGTTCTTATTCCACAAAGGCAGTAAAAATCCCTACATGGTAATTTCCCAGAATGTAGACACAGACTAGGAAATGTTGCCCTGCAAAGTGGAAGCTGAAGGAGTCCATATGAAATGTTTGGAATTTATCACTGGCAGCACTGACACAGGCATTACAATTGCATTGCTAAGCAGATTAGAGGTTTCCTCAAATCCCTCTTGGATCAACCCTTTTCCCAGATCTAGTCAAGAAGATTAAAATGTAACTAATTTAAAACAAACTGACCTTTTATTTATTAAGACACACCACAAGTGACCTCACAATGGGACCTAGAAAGGTCCACCAGCTATAATAGGGAAGCCCATCTGACACTTGCTATCAAATCACACTTCTCTAATTTTCTGAGTAGTGGCTACCATAAACTGCTATTATTCTTGTTTTCTTGTTGTTTGACTACCTCCTCTCTAGGATACAAGCACCTGGAGGAAAAGGTACCTTGTTTCCAGCGATATTCCTAGTAGATCAAACGGTGCCTGAAATACACAGGATTCTCAATACATACTTAGTGAATAAATGAATGTACCAATTTATTATCACTTGATAGTATTAAGATCATGCAGCTAGCCAGACATGTAATCCTGAAATCCCAAGAACTCAGGACAGGGAGATAGGAAGATCAAGATTGGGGCCATGCCAGGCAAAGTTATAGAGATCCTATCTTAAAAATAAAACAAAAACAGTAGGGGTTTGACTCAGTGGTAGAATTCTGAAATGCAAGGCCCTTTTTTCAATCTCTGGTTTGTTTTTTTTTTAAGTCATATCAACTGGGAGCTGGTGGCTCATGCTTGTAATCCTAGCTACTCAAGAGGCTAAGATCTGAGGATCATCGTTCAAAGCCAAGCCTGGGCAGGAAAGTCTGTGAGACTCTTATCTCCAATTAACCACCAGAAAAACAGAAGTGGCACTGTGTTACCACTGTAGTGGTAGAGCACTAGCCTTGAGCACAAAGAGGCTCATGGACAGTGCCCAGGCTCTGAGATCAAGTCCCACAACCAACAACAAAAAAGTCAGATAATTGGGTTTACTTTGCTTAAATCACTAAGCAAGCTTTTCATATGTGTTCAACTTTCTCAAAAAGTACTCAGATCAGCCAGCATGAGAATTCAAATGAACTTGGCAATTATATTTCCTTTTGTAAGGGATTGTGGTTAATTGATTCGCTCCTAACATGAAGCTCTTGTGGACAGCTATTACCTTGAAGATGTTTGCTTGTAGGTCAAATGCAGCTCACAGGACATGAGGAATGTTTTAAAAAATATAGCTAGCATTTTAATATTAGGAGACTGAATTTTTTTTGTTGTTGTTGGCACTGAGTTTTGCACTTACAACTTTGAGCTTGCTCAGGCTGGTGTTTTACTCCTTGAGTCAAACCTTCAGCCCAATTTTTTAAAAACGATTTTTAGAGATGGACTTTAGAAAGGAACTTTTCTGCCCAGGCTGTCTTCAAGCCTCAATTATTCTGGATCTCAGCCTCCAGAGTAGGTAGAATTATAGGTCTGACCTACCTGTTCCTGGCAGAGACGGAATATTTTTTAAAATGTGTTTGGAGCTTCTCTTGATCCCCAAGAAGCCAGGCCCATAAATGCTCTACATTTGCATTTGCAAGGCTAGTTTTCTTTTGGAAAGGATAATACCTGTGGGCAGGTATCCCTTATCTGCTTTGTTTTCTACCGGATATCAGTCCCTAGGGATATCATTTGGCCCCTAAAAACATCTGAGTTTGTCATTGGAAATTTGTATTAGTATCCTGAGCACACTGAGCTCCATGAAAAAGCCAAGTCATTCTTTACACCTTTGAAAGCCTATTAAATCATCTACCTGAAATCATAATTCCCTAAACTTTGAGAAAATAAGAACTAGTGAAAGATGCAACCTAATCATGAAAATACATATACAATTTTATTTCCTTTGAGATAATGGGAGATAATGATTTCAGAGATAACAACTTATCTCTGAAATTGATGGAAACAATTCTAAATCTTCTACAAGTCTGTAAAAGTAAATCCCAAGGAACTGGTATGATGGTTAGTTAATTTTAAATGTATAATACCAGTCATACCACATGGATTTACTTGCATATTTTTATGGTTTTACTTGCATATTTATTTTCTTTATATTTGAACTAGAGATGGACATACCATATGTTATAATATTGTATGTTTTATTTTTGTCTTATAGCCCCTTGGTTTCTTTCTTTCAAATAATTATTTAAAAAGTGGGATTACTTCAGTTTTTTTTAGAGAGTGCAAGAAAGTATATGATTTCCAGCTGTGGCTGTGTAAACAGTATTTGAACAATATTTGTATCATACTTTGGCTTTTGAGATGTCAGTGCTGACTGTTTAAGAAGGAATCTGACATTTACAAAACCTATCATAAAAGAAAATGAAAAAGCTACTTTCATTTGGTGACAGAAATATAAAAATGTCACACAATCTTTCCTAAGGAAAGCTGCAGGTAATAGTTTGTGAAAAACTACCTACTCATCTAGAACAAGACAAATTCATCCTTCCTGATGAGAGGCCACATGAAAGTGAATACAGGAAGATAAGACCTCTATGCAAAAAGCTACGCCATTGCAAATGTGATCAGTAGAGCCCAATTACTTTCAAAAACTTGGTCAAAATTTAATTTTAAACTCTTCTATTGAGTTAAAGAAACAATTGGTTTGACAAATTGCTCTAAAATGTGATGTTAGCTTTTGTTTGCTAAAAATCAAAGATGTCACTTTTGCTTTGTTGTACTGAAGAATATTCTTTGCCTGAAAGAATAGGAAATAGAGAGAAACTAGAGGAAATTGAGGAGGAAGTAGAAGAGGAGAAAGAGGAAGAAGAGGACCTCCTACATGCTATGCAAGTGCTCTTCCACTGAACTATACCCCTACCTCTAGACAACTTTTTTTTTCTGTAGTAATGTTGATTAGGACTTATGACTATTTAACAG